AAACATACTCCCTCTCATCCTAATGGAACAGCTGAAGACAATTTTATTGTTAGTTCTGTACGGTTTATGTAGAGGTCGTGTTTTGTTTACAATTTGTTTCTTGTTAATACAACCTCGTTTAACCAAATAATACGATCTAATCATAAACAATAAATTGTCCCCTAGTTATTTAACCAAACGGTAAGGCACAAATCAAGAAATTAACCCTAAAATAATAGAAACAAAATTTCGTCGACACTATCGCCCAGTGTGGCGTACATGAACTAGACATGAAAAACGAGCTTCAAAATTTACAATGGGATGAGAAGTCTACTTGTGTTGGTTAGTTTATGGTTTTATCTATGACAAAACCACTTGCGACGTTGCAAATTCTACCAGGCCACTGCCTGTAGTTAAAGGTAGCCGTGGTATGAACAATGCATCACCACGACAAAGTGCCACCACGACAACCCGCCACCCCACATTTATCCAAGGTTGGTTGTCATGCACGCAACCATGCACGACGTGCCACCCCGACAACGAGCAACCACGTCAACCCGCCACCTCAAACTTCTTCTTTTTGGTGGAGGGTTGACGTGGTGGCTGGTTGACGTTGTGATGCCTTGACGCTTTCCCTGGTCGACTTTGTGCTTAAAAGCAGTGGACCCGACCCTTTCCCCCTCCCCCCTTATAAGTACTGTCTATGGTACAAGGCAGTTCAAATCTGACCAACTTTTTTTGTTACCCTGTATATCTAGCTCAGTCAATTTTACCTCGGTCGGATACCACAGTAACGTGACTTTATAATAGGATTCCATATGGCAAACAGTGTTATTATACAATCAGCAATACATTTATTTCAGTACTTCAACCTCGACATAGATTAAATTTACTATTCATTTAACATTAATTATTACTATGTATTTTTGGTATAATATTTTTTGCAGGCTTAGATTTCCTTACTTGTGATGGCAACAATTGACTACAAACGGTCTTTTTTTGTTAGTTTTAGTTTTCTCTTTCTGCTATCCCGATGATGCCAGTGAGTGCGGTTGTTTTTTGAGGAGGCCTTGCCGTCAGACCGTCACCGCTCTTTTTTCGTCTGTCTAGAAACGGGACAGCGGAATTTGAAATCGGAACGACGCTTCCCCCACTACTGCGCTGTGCCGAACGCTTCCGAATCTTACCGAGCAGTGCCGAACTTAAACGTCAAATTCGATGCTGTCTGTCGCGTGGTCGCGTGGTGTCAACTGTCAACAATGAATGTGTGCCAGTTTTGCGATAAGACTTTTGTCAATAGGTGGGCCTATGCCCACAAGAGTGAGATCTACTGACAAACTTCTATTAAGGCAACGTGTTGAGTCAATTTTAAATAAAATTGACAACCCGGAGAGTTTAAAAGTAGCTGATCAATGCCTGAAAAACCTAGATGCAAAGTTGAAATGGATAAAACAGAGGAATATTGCCTTAAAAGTAAGAACCAAGACCAAAAAGATAAAAATCGAGCCTCAAAGGAGTTTTTTTTCAACCAAAAACAAAAAGAAAAAAGGGTTGAAAGCAACTTCCCGGCCTACACGAGAAGAATCTCAGCACATTGCTTTAACAGCATTGTTGCTCAGTACAGGGGTTGAACCTTCAACTCCATGAGTTGCTTAACCAGGTAGGCTAAGATCAATACTAAGACTAGTTTATTTAATCCATAACTTTAAACAGTAATACATTATTGTATTAACTGTAGTCTTATTATTAATAATACATTTTTCCCCCAATTTTTATTTAATTTATATAAATGTCATCATATTTACTTATCATTTAATTTAAAACAGATTGTAAATAAAACCAATAAAACTTTGTAAAAGAAATATATTTAATAATTTTTAATCATTAGGTAATAATCAACCATCAATTATAAATTAAATGAAATAGTAACAGCTGACACATTCTTATTTTCTAAGTTAAAGTTCTTGTACTTCAAATTTTTTTACTTGTCTTGAATTTTCATAATTTGAGTATTTACTTAAACAGAATTGAATAAGCATGACTATTTACTTGTACTTCTAAAAAGCCTTTCCAAGAAAGTATATACCCTCAGAAACCTATAAATTTGGTGTGAATAACCATCAGCAAATACTTGCCTAAAGAGTAAATACTTGTTTTTCAACTAGTTATCAGTAACCCATGCTTGTTTAAGTTAACTTGTTGATAAATGCATGTAACACATTCAGTATGGTGTAATACACTTATTTAAATTATGTATGACTCTAGTGATTTCCACAAAATAATGCTTGGGTTGAAGATGGAACCTTTGTGGTATTCCTTCGTTATGTTCAAGCTATTTGTTAATGAAAATCCATCCACAAGTCTCAATAATGCAAAACCTTCACATTTTACATGTTTAAATGAAGGCCTTAGACCTTCAATAATATATATATATTTATCATATATAGCCTATAATATATATATATACTTGTACTGTATAATGTTTACTTTAAAATGGAGTACACTTGCAAGTATACCCTCATATCCGATAGATCAGTATACCATCTCATTTAGGAAGTAGTACCTGGGGACCAAGCTTTGCTCGGGGAAAATCATTAGTTTACTCTGAAAACAGTTTAATATTGCAGATACATTAATCCACTCCCAAACTCCACACTGCTTACCTTTACTACTTCCTTCACCACTCCCTACGTTGTGGACCTGTTTGCCCTCATTTTAGATTTGCAGATCTATAAATGCCACAGACAGTTCCCCACTCTGCACTGCTAGCCTTACTACTTCCTTCACCATTTCCTACGTTATGGACCTGTTTTCCTCCCTTCTCATAGCATTTTAGGATTGTAGATACCCTAATCTAATCCCCATTAACAGTTCCCACACTCCAGACTGCTCACCTTTACTACTCCCTTCACCACTTCCTACGTCGCAGACCTGTTTCCCTCCCTTCCCATAGCATTTGAGGATTGCAGATACCTTAATCTAATCGTCATAAACAGTTCCCACACTCCACACTGCTAGCCTTTACTATTATTGATAAAAAAAGTCCTCCTACAATGTATCCAGTAATCTTCAGTATCATCTTTGCTCAATAGTAACAACTGATGTTTTTCCTTTTGTACTGTATTTTGTAATAATTATTTAATAATTATGTAATTATGTAATAACTAGCTGTAACCCACGGGCTTTGCCCCGTTTAACTTCTTAATTTTCAAGATTATCTCGTTCGCATGGCTCAATCACGTCCTGGTTGAAGTTTGTTCGCTACGCTCACTCACCTTTAGGTTGGAGCTCGTTCGCTACGCTCACTCACCTTTAGGTTGGAGCTCGTTCGCTGCGCTCACTTGCCTTCAGATTAGCTCGTTCGCTACGCTAACTCGCCTCCAGGTTGAAGTTCGTTCGCTACGCTCACTCACCTTTTGTTTGCAAATTAGCTGTTGTCATAAATGTAAAAGAAATAATAGAGTGCTGCACCCTGTTGGTAATCCTTGTAACTTTAATGCTATTGAACATCATAGACCAGAACCAACTTGTTTAATTGAAACAGCTGTCAAGATTCAATAATTCCATTTCTCATAAGGTTAACATGGGAAACTCCAGAGCCACTGGGGCGGAGCCCAAAAGGATTTTTGAAATAAGAATATGCCTATATGTTAATCGGGAATGTGAGCTACCATCATGCCAAATTTCAGCCCAATCCGACCAGTATTTTTCGCGTTCACTTGTCACAAACATACATCCATACATCCATACATCCAAACTTTCTCATTTATAATATTAGTATGATTATTTATAAGCAATTATTGCTAGTATACTGTGGATAGACTACTAACAAGTCTTTTGTTTACTTTTTCCTTGTTATTCAATTCAACTAACATGGTTACTTAGCAACCCATAAGTCTTTCAGTTTCATTTTTCTACGTAATTAGAATTTTGTTGGCAGTTCTAACTGCAATAAACTCGTTTTTAGACCAAAAATAAACTATTTACAACATTTGAAGACAATCGTCGGAGCCGTTTTCGAGATCTTGGTGCAAGCATACATACATACAAGCAAACATTGCTCGTATTAGAGTATAGGATTTACTTGCAAGTAAAGAGTCGCTTTTATTCACAAGAGATTACCTGAACGATGAATACTTGCAAGTATTTACTCGCAAGTAAATACTTGCTGTACTTGTATTCACTCGGCCCAGTGGTATGCTAGTGAAATCTTTTACTGAAATAAAAGTTTTTGAACTTGAACACACACACTGACATCCCAGATATTTTCACAGAGAACCTACAAACATAAACGTAGACCCATGTTGAGTAACTTGTGACACTGACAAACAAACAAAATAAACAAGTAGGCCTATAGAAAATTCACAATAAGATATTTCTCATTTAAAATAGCCTAATCTTTATGTTCATTTTGTTGTTACAGTTTCCAAGATGAAGAAAATGTTGTAAATAAATGTAAATATTATTTGTGTGTGTTAGTGTGTAATATAATATGTGTTAAATTGTCGCTTTTGAAGAAGAATTTATTTTGAAGACGAAGACCAGGAATTTTAACACGAGGTATGTTACTAGTTTTAAAATGTTCACAGCTGAAAATAGGCCTACCTGTAAGCTATAATTTAGAATGACATGGAATTAAACTTTTTCTTTCTATACTTTTGTTATTTAAACAGTGTAAACAACAAGTAATAATAGTTAGGATTTTTATGTAATTCATCTTTATTTGGACTTATATAGCTATTTGTAATTTTTAATAATTATTCTAGAAATAATTTTCAATTAACATATTTAGACTTATATTTAACATTAAACGGCTACTGTACTTTGTTCCCGCGTAATTTAAAACAAGCTCGGTGATGAATGACAGAAGCAGAAACCCGCGGTCAGATTTTTAGTTAGGATTTCAATTCCGCTGTCCCGTTTCTAGACAGACGAAAAAAGGCGGTGACGGTCTGACGGCAAGGTCTCGTGTTGTTTTGGTTTTGGTTCAAAAAATTCAATCTAATAGTGACTTAAATGTGAGGTTGAGGTTACGTTAATGTTTTGCCGCTTTTAAAGTTGTTAATCCTACTTAAATAAACTTACTAGCTAGGAGTTCATAATTTATTATTTCAGCTAGGCTACCTCATGGAAATATCATCGGATTCCGACGATGATGATTGCCAGTTATATACTAGAACAGCAGACCATTTTACTAAGAAGAGAAATGAAATTCAGTCTAAGAGGAAACTACTAGAAGACGAAGACACAGTTAACCAAGACTTAGTCCTAGCAGATGCAGATGTTTTTCTCGTCAACGGTGAGGATGCAATTAATAGTTCAAAATTTGTCGATAATTCATTGGATGCAGATGTTAGCCTCAACAGCTTTCAGGACCCTAACAGTTCTGAAGATGATATACCATTAGCTGAATTAAGGCGAAGTCTGAGGAACAAAAAACGCAAAATTCCATGCTCCCCACAACTGCAGGTAAGGCCTAGATCTAGAAGAAAATCTAGGAAGCAAAGAAATCGGGAAACGTCAAGGCCTACCGGTATGTCTCCAGCGAGAAACGGTAATGTAGTTGTACTAGACGATGATTTAGATTTTGTAGTTGGATCGTTTCCCCCTATAGATTTTAATAGCCGTTCTAACAAAAAATCTATTTCATCCAAAGACATATCAATAGAAAATATAAATCTTGATTTAGATGATGAGGATGATTTTGAAAGTGATGACTTAGTCACACTAACTATTGAGTGGAACAATAATAAAACAACTACCCTCAAACATTTCAAAATCCGTAGATATCAAAAATTGGAGTCAGTGTTTGAGGAGCTGTCCAAACTAGAAAATATCAATTCAAACCGTGTTCTATTGATGTATGATTTTAAATCTGTCAGTCCTATGGATACTCCATCATCCTTGAATCTGAAATTTTACGGTGCTCTAATAGGTTCAGTATCTTCCGTAGAAGTAAATCACAACAAAGCCAATGTAATTAATCAAGTAGATGATGAAAAATCCTCTGGGCCCACTGGAGGCATTCAAGTGAAATTGTTATTACAATCCAAGCAGACATTGGTATTCAAGGTTTTCAAACGTCAAAAAATGGACATTCTTTATACAAAGTGTGCTGAAGAATTGAAGTGTAACAAGGGTCAGTTAAAAATTACTTTTGATGGTGAGCATGTTGAGCCAAATGAAGTCTTAGAAGATTTGGATGTAGAAGATGGGGATGTGTTTCATGTACATGTTAAAAGCTGCAACTAAATGTTGTTAACACAAACTCTGTAAAATGTTATTTAATTTAAGTTTAAATGATTTTGTATATAAACTGATTTAATATTGTTGATACCGTGACATACCTTTGCTACATGATACCAGTTGGAGAACTTATTGTTTAACAAAACATGCTTGCCCCTACCGATACCATTTTGTACCACTCAACATTCAATTTTATACAGGCTGTCATTTGTTAAAAAGAGTTAAGACCGTAGAGGCCCATCATAACTTAGCCTATTATGAAGAAAGTAACTTCTAGGCTACTTAATTACTCATTCTGTAAAATTAATTAGGTTCAAAGTGATTGCTAGTGTAACTTAGCCTAAGTAATTTTCTTGAAACTGGTTACCTATTCTTGTCACAGTTTTTTACGGGTAGCCGGAGCTGAGCCTACTAGCATCACACATTCATCTACTACTTTGTCATTTCCTGCTCCAAAGTAAACTTACATAGGGTAACATAATTCACTAGAAGTATCATATTTATAATAAGTTAGTTAGTGGATGTAGCCTATATTTTGCGAGTTCATTATTAAACTTAGATATTTTTTATACCGACTGTCCCATTTGTGCTCCTCTAATCAAGCCCTGTTTTTTTTTTGTGTAAAAAACTTGACAGACTTTCTAATGTAAATAGGTAGGCCTAGTATTTTTGTAATTTTGTGGAAAGTCTCAATTTTCACCTACGGTACAGGTAGTTTCTTGTTTGATTTAGGTTAGTAATTGAAATTTGTTTCAGTGAGTTATAATTGATAAATTAATCAAATCTAACTTTTATAGAGGTCACAAACAAGCCATTGTCATCCTATTAGAAGTTTATGAAATCATTCTTTTATAGGCAACATTACTTACGCCTATAGGCTATTTTTTAGTTTGTGTTTATGTAAGGATAACAAATTTTTAAGTTTTGTCACAATAAAGTAGTATTTAAGATTAGAGCCAGTAGATCCTATTAATATTGAATTTAAAGTACCAATGAAAAAAAACCTCATCAGATATAGCATAATTGTTTCACTTTTAAAATTAAGTTTCCCTTATCTTGTCATTTTGCATTATCACTTAAGGAGTTGATGGTAGCTCCTCGATTAATCACTTAATGTTTAAATTACATTATATGTAAGATTCGGTGTTAAAACACCATCGTCACCTTCAGGTTTTTTACTTGTAGAGTTGATCAGTTTTAGATATAACTTAGTCAAAGGTTAAACAACATAGGGCACTCGAACAAAATTACAAAAAGTACAAAAAGAGATTGAAACATTTCAATAGGCCTACCCCTGGCGCAGCAAACCTGCAGACTAAGTGAATTTCCATTTGCCTGATTTGATTTTCAATGAAATCTATTTCAATAACATTAGGTATAATGATTACCTTGGTTTGCTGCTAGAGGGAGGGTAATAAAGTGTGTTTTTTCGTAAAACATTAGCCTAATAGCTTAGTATAAAAGATTATAGATTTGCTAAGTTTGATCAAAATATTCGGTACATAAACAAGCAAACTACAAAAGTTAACTTATTCTCTAAAAGAATAACATGGGAATTTTAAATTTACAATTTTTTGCATTTTATCCAAAACCAATAATCATACAAAAACATTTTAATATAAGTTACTACATTTTTGTTTTTTAAGCTCTCAAAAAAATAATTTATAGAGAAATTGGGATATTTTAGGTTTACACCTAGGTAGGTCTTACCATGAGACCTACCGTAATAATAGCTTATTCCCTATGGGAAATTCGCTAAAACAAGCCTGTTGTACAGTAACAAAGTTACTGACCGTACTAAAAGCAAGGGACAGACTGTCACTCTTTGTTGCAACAGGCCTGTTTCAGCGAATTTCCCATATAGGGAATAAGCTATTATTACGGTAGGTCTCATGGTAAGACCTGGACCCGGGACCGATATACTTTTTCGTTTTGATGTCCCCAGAGGCCAAAAACACCATCCGTTCTAGTTCATAATATATATGTCCCTTAGCACGATAACTCGAGCAAAAATGATCCCATTTCGTACAAACATGTAAACCTACGTTTATCCAAACGAGTTCGAAAACCAGTATGATCAGACCATGGGAACGAGGTTTTATAGGGGATTTATGGGGTAAAAATTGGTTTTTCTCATTTTTGACTTTCAAAACATAAAATTCCTTAAATTCTCTCTAGACCATTTTGAAGAGATTAAAAAATTTAAGTGTTTTTGTACGGTTATTGGTTAGAGAGAAACTACAAAAAATAGTAAATTTAAAATTCCCATGTTATTCTTATAGAGAAGAAGTAAACTGTTGTATGTTTGCTTGTTAAAGGATATATTTAGATCAAACTTGGCAATTGTTTACTAAGCTATTAATGCTTTACTAAATAAACACACTTTATTACCCCTGTAGCAGTAATCCTAAGTACTCATTAAACTTAATGTTATCAAAATAGATTTATTTGAAAATCAATTCAGGCAAATGGAAATTCGCTTAGTATACAGGTTTGCTGCAGCAGGGGTATTTAAATGTTTCAATGTGTTTTTGTAGGTACTTTTTGTAATTTTGTTTGTGCCGTATTGGGTTTAACCTTTGACGATGTCAACAACTAATCAACTCTACCAAGTACTTGAAGCTGACGATGGTGTTTTAACACCGAAGCATGTCCTAATACAGTATGGCCAAATTCGTTGAGCTGTGACGGAATTACGTTTAAGGAATTTAGTCTTACATTATGTCCAACAGCTCAGGGGCTTCAAATGTGAATGGCAAACTAATAAGTTTTCCTTTTTTCTTTTCTAGTAATTAGGCTACCCAAAAATGATAGCTTACTTAAGCGATGCCTTCAAACCTATCTCAAATCTATTTTGTATTAATTCCAAATCACTAAGTAGCTTAAATTTCTTTTAAAATAATTCTTAATCCAAAGAAGCAGTAGATAAAATGTTTGTATTATTATTTTCAGCTATTTTCTAAGGGTGATCTGAATAGCCTATCTTTAATTAGAGTATATCTTCCAACGTTCCGACTCATGTTTGTAATCTTTATTCATCTAGTATAGCCGTATTTGCACATGCCAATAGGCTGGCAGGTGTTTACACAAGGCAAGTAGGGTAGGTTGCCTGTCTCTAATGTGCTAATATCTTTAATGCCTGTTTACTGACCTCATATTTAAACCATACTTAAACACACATTAAAATTTGTGTTCCCAAGGTTTCAAAATCAGATTTTTAAAATTTGATTTAAGAATCCCATACCAACAATTTGTTTTGCACTGTATATTTACAAGAAATGTTTGTCACCTCTCAAAATTAAAATGGTTCCATCAAAAATTACATATTAATTGTGTTGTACAGTTTTTTATATATTTTATTTTATTTTAGTCATAGTGTTATGGTAATTAAACTTATTATTCTATATATTTTATGGTGTATTATTGAAGTGCAACCTACCTAACTAAGACTGTACTATACTCTGATCACAAAATTTAGGCAGTTTAGGGGAAGAAATCTATCTCCTCCACTTGATCCTATCTTTAAAATAATAGCTCAAGAGCTGAGACGTCAATCATCTGCAACATATATATTAAGAAAAGTTATGAGGGAACTTGCCTTAAACTAAATCTTGTGGACAGGCTATAGGTAGTTAATTTTCAAGTGTGACTAATACCATATAGTACGGTGCAATTAGACCTGAACCAGGACATCCAAAAAAAAAGTTCCAAACCAGCGCCAAATTGTTGAATACACTTCCCTCAATATGTAAAAAAAAGTTACACTGATTTGAGTGTCGGGTTTGGGGGGGGGAGGGGGTGAAAATGGGGTGAAAATAGGACTTTTTTTACATTTTCGCAAATAACTCAAAAACGGTGCGTTTTTCTCAAAATATAATGAATTACAAAAATAATCTACATTAAATTTTGTACAAAATGATACCATACAATACCTATCTACTATGAACGGTTCAGGAGATATTGGGGGGCAAATGTGAATTTTTCTTAAAATTCTAAAAAAGTAGTTTTTTAAATAGAGGAAAACCATGGACACCCATAAAAAAGTTTCTAATGAGTGCTTAATTGTTCAACAGACCTCCCGTATAAATAAGTTTGAACGAATAAATAATATCATACTTTAATACTTTCATCAGGTTTGATAAAATTATTTTGTTTATTTATTTTTAACACAGATATTTACTTCATATCTTATGATAAAATACACAAGAAATCGAATGGTAGAATGTTCACTGTTATGATAAAATACACAAGAAATCGAATGGTAGAATGTTCACTGTTATGGTAAAATACACAAGAAATCGAATGGTAGAATGTTCACTGTTATGGTAAAATACACAAGAAATCGAATGGTAGAATGTTCACTGTTATGATAAAATACACAAGAAATCGAATGGTAGAATGTTCACTGTTATGATAAAATACACAAGAAAACGAATGGTAGAATGTTCACTGTTATGGTAAAATACACAAGAAATCGAATGGTAGAATGTTCACTGTTTTTTTGTATCTAACAAGGTCGGGTTGTCTTTTCAGGTATTTAATCTATATTTAGTAAAATTTTCGTATTCAGGTAAGTACATACATCCAGTTAAGTTCATCCTATTTTAATTTCCTTTTCAGTCCTCTCCGAACATATCAATCTCTTCCGCTGCATCCTCGTTAGTGATGGCATCTTGGTTATCACACCCTAAACCTGAGCAGTTGCCGCAGCACATATTCGAACATTTCAGTCCGCTTTGTCTGCACTCGCATTTGCGCACACACTCATCCTTACATGAGCATATGACTAGGGATAGTAGCTCAGGAGGAGCTCTCTGTGGTATGAGGTCTAAGATGTTCCCCAACCTTCTTCCAACCCCAATCAAGTGGATTCTTATTGACCCCTAGCCACTGCTGCACCTGGTGGTACACTCTGAATGTGTGCTGCCTAGCAGCTGCTGAAGTGGGAGGAAGAGCAGCTAACTTGATCATTGAATGCAAAGGCTGCTTTGATATTGCTTGTAAGTAGCACTGGTAGCGAAGAGCATCCAACCCTCCAGTAATCTTTCCTCCAAATACTGCTACAAAAAAAATTTCTCCAGCATCAGCAATTTTATCTTGGTCTGCATTCGGATCATTAAAAACAAGGAGTTTTGATTTGAGAGCCTTGTTAGCTTGCACCTTTCTAAAGGGTGTGTTCTTGCCTTTGTTGAATACTGCTGACACAGTGTCACATCCTGTGAATGCGTACACTGGTAGCAGGACTTCTTTCATTTCACCCATGGCTTGCTGAATTTTTGAAATGTAGTAAACCCTTTTCTCCTTATTGCCTTTCTTTGGTAACACCATTTTCAAATTGTTATTGGGTGGTGCAAGGGCAGTTAATAGGACTAACAAGTCTGTGTCGTCACCTACCACTGAAGCTCCAAGCCCCTTCTCTGCTTCTCTCAGCGCTGTATTCACTATCATTATGTCTGCATCCCCTGGTGCTTGATATACTACGCAGCCAGTCTTCTTTAGGTGGACCATGAGGAGGGAAATCAGTCCCATTTTGTTTTTTGGATTTGCGAGGAATTCATTTTGATTCAAGTTCACAATAATTGAGCCTTCAACTTTAACCTCGATACTCATGGTTGCCCGTGACCTACGCAGGTGTTCTTCGTCTTTAGTGTTTCCCTCCTCATAGCCGTCAAATACAACAACAGTACCTTGCCCATAGTGAGTTAAGACATATGTTGTGTACTGGTTGCAAATCTCCCTGAAGTGAGCTGGGCGTTGCCAGACCACACGATGGAGCAGGTGACCTCCGTCAATGATATAGGGACTTTCATCTTCGAGAGGGATTGGCGATAATTCTTTTGCTTCTGTCTCCAAGACTGTTACAAATGAAGATTTTTTACCCTTTCTCATTAAACCAGATTCGTCAAATAGGGATGGAGGATACGCACAAAGTTCAAATTTAAATATTTCTGCCAGCCTCGCGTCACTCCTGACGGTGCAAACCATCCGATGTAATAGTGTATTAGAGTTCACACAAACAGTGTCATTGTTTATTCTCACCGATTTAGTCATAGAGGCTAGAGACTTCACAGCTACCTTTCTCTTTAGCTGTAACTGACTAAATGGTTTACCCTCAATTTCTTTCATAGCTTAAAATCCAATTTCAAATGCTTGGTCGCAGTTGACATTTTTATCTGCGACAGCTCCTGTTGAGAGCGAGGAAAGTTCTTTGGATTTCAAAAATGGGTTATGCTCCTCAAGCCAAGAAATAAACGCTTGCAAATCTTTAGAATTTCTTTTTTGTCTTGCCTCTCGTAGTTCTACATGCTGCTCTGATTTGACGCTTCGCACTCCTGCAAACTCCTCCACTGCCTCGACGACTTGGGAGCAAATCGGCATGGAGTTAATCCACGTTGCAATAGTTGCCGCTGTGATTCCTCTGCCCCCGGTTAAGCCACCAATACTACTTAAGGATCGCATCAAAACCTGTTCAATGGTCATGTCACTCCACACTCCAGACCAAAACTTTTCGGTGCGCTTGAAGGTAAAATAACCACGATTGACAAACAGTTCGTATTCTTCAGGATTCATTGATGTTTTAAGGGCTAATGAGCTTATTAGGTACACGAATGCAGATTTAGCATAATTTAGGTGATCTGATGAATAGAAAATAGGAAGCATTTGGTGGACACAATACAAGTGGAGGTTAAAGTCACCACTTCTTTCTGCTCTAATAAACATTCTAACTAGTTCAACCATTTCTATGAACTGAATCCATAGCTTTTGTGTTCGCCCTGATTCTTTGGATTGTTGAAGCTGGTCCTTCAAAATTTCCACAAAGTTCTTTACAGTAGTTGACTGTGTGATATCTTCAGCGGATGCTTTTCCGTGCTTAAGAGATGAATAGAAAATGTACAGCAGGTCTTTATCAACAATAAAGCAAGATGATTTGGTCTTCAGAAATACGGTAATTAGTGCTTCCTCGGCTAAGAAGAGAGCTCGAACAGCCCTAGAATAAGCTTTTCCGTTCATCATTTGTTGAACACTGTTTTTAGCATAGACTGTGCAATACAACTCTTCCAAGCCACTACCTGCCATGATGACAGAAAAGACATTAACAGGTGGAACCCTCCAAGGCGAATAAAGAGTGACTTCAATGGGCTGTCATCAGGTGCTGCACCTACCATTTCACACGCTTTAGCGTACAAAGGCTGATCAAATGTCACCATTGTGAGGCTTTGTCCATTGCCAGTACCTTTTTCGGCAGCTTGAAGAAGGGCCGTGTATATTGTTGATGGGTTTGACGGAGCTAAGTTTATGAATGGAAGAGGGATGACAGCGGAGGTTTGGTACTCTTTCGTTGCATACAACATTTCCATGCAGCCACTCCAACCGGGTTTGTACTCTTCTGCACCTTCTAGCCAGGTACCACTCAACCACAAAAAATTCAATGTCTGGTCGTGTTCAGATGACAATGGTTTTATTTCATGGGGAGGAATGTTTGTAGCTACTACTTTGGAATAGCCAGACTTACTTTGGGCTCTGTAAGTTTTAACAGCAAATAAGCCTCGCTCATGAATAGCGTGAGAACTAACATTCGATCGAGGAACATATTCTTCGACCTGAAGAGCAGATTTACGCGTCACGCAAGCGATTCCACCCATGGCGTGAAACGTATTGTGGCCATCTAAAGTGTGCACATTGTAGTCTGCGTTATCGAAAACAAACTGCAAATATCCTTTCTCAATTCTGTTACTTTCCAGGGAAGTAACTGACCTTTCATATTTCAAAACTTCTTTATAGGGTACACAGACACCCATGTTACATAGGACATCAATCAAGATCCTTGAACCAAACTGTCTGTGTAATGATACACCAGTACCAAGTTGAACAGGGGACAAAAAAGATCTTGGTCGGGCAGCACTTATTATATTGTGACATATCGTGGTAGTTTTCCTGTCAATAATTTGTTTCGTCCTTTCAATTTTCTGTGGAGTTTGTCTTTTTGATGTAGGTTGGATAATATCAGATATCAGAACCTTAAGCACTTCAGGAACCATTGCAAGTCCTCCAGTTCTAATTTCATTGATAGTTGGAAACTGTGAGCAGTTATAGCTTTTTGACTTGATCTCACGACGAATAATAGCAGCTGCTTTTATGATTCGTAATTCCTCTTGAATTTCATTTTCAATGTTTCTGTTTTTATACCAGTTGTCTGATAAAATATTATGATTTGTTCCGGAAAAGCAAATTATACATTTTTTTCCAGGCAACACTGTAAAATGCAAACTGCTGCCGTAATGATGGGCCAGTTTCCTTCTTAAATGCTTGTCAGTGTATGGCTCTACCTCGGGATTGAGTTGCAGAAATACAGTTTGCAATTCTTCCAAGGAATAGGTACTGACATTCATCATT